TTAACAAAACCTAGGAGTCGTAATCTTGGCGATTGTATTAAATATTGAACACAATGGAAAAAGTTAGTTTAAGGAAGAATGTCAGATATGAATTGGAATTGATAAGATTATGGTTGGAAATAGTCAACATGATTTCCTGTCAACAAGGTTCCTTGCTGACAAGTGCTAAATAGCATGAAACCCGGGTCCAGGATTTCTTGTCAACTACCTTCAACCACTATCTTTATAAAAGGATGATTTTATCATTCTTTATTAATCAATACTTTGCTTTCATTCTTATTTACTCCTGGAGCCCCTCTTGGTACTACTGGCGGTCACAAACCTGGATAGAAGAGGAGGATTGATTATGGGGTTAGCGACTCTATCTCGTGGAAAACTAACTAGCTAAAACAGTATTAACCAGGGAAAAATATAGTTCAAACCATTTAAACTCTACCCTGAAAGTTAGAAGGTCTTGATTTAGAAGAATTATGGCATCTCATAATGAAAGCGTAGTTCGTTCAAAAGCTCCTTCTAACAACCATAGCAACCATTCATTTAAGTACATGAAATCCTCGTTATTAATCAATATTATTATTAATTAATGTACCTGATTATAAATTCACTTGGTATTGTTTGGCTTGTATCTTCCCATTGAGTTTTAAGACCTCAATTTATCAGTCTCTTATTGGCATATGTGCATACTGTGCTTATGCCTCGATATTGCCTTAATTCACAAGCTTTATGGTGGCTAGCATTGGAATCTAGTTTGAAGCACATCATTTCGTCCTATTTGGAACTCGTCAGTCAGATGTACCTACATCTTAGAGTTGATCTCCACTCTGAGACTCGAACCCAGTACCGTTTGCTTCAAGCATCATCTCGTTATCCGCTTAGCTATTGAGTCTTGATAGCTACCTGGTTTCGCTAACGAGTTTTAAATAGGACGAAACGCTCGTCCTGGATTCCACTGCTAGTCACTAACCATCATTGCTTAGAAGTACCTGATTATAGTTATGAATTCAAGAAATATTCACACATTTCCAGAGATATATACTTACATATATATCTATATGAACATGCGAACAAAGCTTAGGTGTATTAACGGAATTTGTTTTAGTACAGAAAAGATAGTATTCTTAGTACAAATGATGAATATACTGTGTACATTTTAGTAAAAAAAAGAACTAAGGTATGTATGGAATAGATTTGTATAAACTATGAATTGACAAGAACTTGTCTTTTGTTATAATAATAATAAGAAGGTATCTCTTCAGTTCGTTTTTTTTGGAGAGACATTGGTTATTCTATAAATAAATCTCCTACCATCCTTTCTTTCTTTCTTTCTCTTTCTTCCTCTCTCTCTCTCTCGCTTACTCTATCTCCCTATCTCTCTCTCTCTCTCTCACACACACAGACACACTCACCCTCTCTCTCTCTTTATGTATGTGTTTTGTTTGCACAGTATTGTTACTCGTAGTATTAAAATTTGGCATTTATATTAAAATGAAAAGAGATGAATTGTTTTCAGTAAGAAGGAATTCGTTTTCGGTATTCTGTTCTATCTATCTATCTATCTATCTATCTATCTATCTATCTATCTATCTATCTATCTATCTATCTATCTATCTATCTATCTATCTATCTATCTATCTATCTATCTATCTATCTATCTATCTATCTATCTATCTATCTATCTATCTATCTATCTATCTATCTATCTATCTATCTATCTATCTATCTATCTATCTATCTATCTATCTATCTATCTATCTATCTATCTATCTATCTATCTATCTATCTATCTATCTATCTATCTATCTATCTATCTATCTATCTATCTATCTATCTATCTATCTATCTATCTATCTATCTATCTATCTATCTATCTATCTATCTATCTATCTATCTATCTATCTATCTATCTATCTATCTATCTATCTATCTATCTATCTATCTATCTATCTATCTATCTATCTATCTATCTATCTATCTATCTATCTATCTATCTATCTATCTATCTATCTATCTATCTATCTATCTATCTATCTATCTATCTATCTATCTATCTATCTATCTATCTATCTATCTATCTATCTATCTATCTATCTATCTATCTATCTATCTATCTATCTATCTATCTATCTATCTATCTATCTATCTATCTATCTATCTATCTATCTATCTATCTATCTATCTATCTATCTATCTATCTATCTATCTATCTATCTATCTATCTATCTATCTATCTATCTATCTATCTATCTATCTATCTATCTATCTATCTATCTATCTATCTATCTATCTATCTATCTATCTATCTATCTATCTATCTATCTATCTATCTATCTATCTATCTATCTATCTATCTATCTATCTATCTATCTATCTATCTATCTATCTATCTATCTATCTATCTATCTATCTATCTATCTATCTATCTATCTATCTATCTATCTATCTATCTATCTATCTATCTATCTATCTATCTATCTATCTATCTATCTATCTATCTATCTATCTATCTATCTATCTATCTATCTATCTATCTATCTATCTATCTATGTATCCATCTATTCATCTATCCAGTTAACCATCTATCTATTTATTCATTTGATCACTCACTCATTCATTCATTCATTTAACTATCCATCATTTTATCAATGTACTTATCTATGTAAATAGATTTGTTATTGTTGTTAGCTTATATAGTTTTCTTTAACTATTCAAGAATTTGATAATTACCAGTCTTATCTATTTCCTATTAATAATGAAGATGGTAATCATAATGATTAAAAGTAATGATGGATTGTAGACTAATATCAGTTGAAGAATGATCATCAATCAGGTTAAGCGTTCGCTTACGAGATTGAAGGCCCTGAGTTCGAATCCGTCGAAGGGGGATTGTGGATGAGCACTGATGAGGAGTTCCACACAGTAGGACGAAACATTTGTTCAATGCTCTCAGGTTTTCAATGGTGCTTTAACATCAATCAGTTCATGATCTCAATCAAAAACTTAATGATCTTCACAACCTTATACTGATAATTACTACGTGTTCATTAATGACTAGCTTCGTGAGGTAATTCTCGGAGTTTTAATGAGAAGCCATGACTAGTAGAGCTAAACCAGAAAACATCAGATATCTTTTTCGTTTTAGTTTGAATAGCTCGAGATATAACTCCACTTTGATTGTAGGATGATTGTTATCGAAATATACATTGAGGCTATTTATGGATGTAATGATCGATTTACATCGTGTTGGTGAATGACGAGATTAACTAAGTTCAATACAAGAATGGATTTTTGAATATGTGTGTTTTATATAATTGTTGATCCAGACAAATGATTGAAGAAACAAAGCGAAGAGAAGAGAGTGAAGCGAAATGACATGCGATGAAGAATGCATGTAAGTTAACTCCATATATATATGAATGAGATAAGAAGTACACACATATACGCTCATATAAAAACAGTCAAGGTTGATAAACGAATAATTAACAAGACAACAATGTGACTCAAGAAGAATGAATAAAATGATCTTTCCACAGGTATAAATAACCTATGTGGGTTTGATGTATATATATATATATATATATACCAGCCTCTTTGTAGTATAGGGTCCTTCATCAATATCCTTCCAAGACTATACATAAGATTGAACCTCGTCCCTAAAAGCTTCTGTTCATGCAGTGATTTCAATGCCCTCAAACTGTTAAATAAGATCATGAGTCAATTGAAGCCAGACTACCATAGAAAACCTGGAAGCACTGAATAGCCGAGATTTAGTTGGTGATTGGAGGTAGTCAACAGGAAACCCTGGACACGGGTTTCGTGCTACTTGGCACTCGTCAGCAAGGTGTACCTGTAATCTTGAGGGAACTGGTGCTCCCCGGCGGATTCGATCTCGTGTCACCCAGCTTCACCGTTAGAGACGTTACCACTGAGCTAACTACCTCCAACCACCATCTAAATCTCAATACATAGTGCCCGCAGTGTCGAGTCACCTAGACTGGTGGCCACATTGCAACATGATCGATAGCATTTGATCTGCACTAATAAGGACTAGACAAACATGACATTGATCACCACCCAGTGATCAATCAATTGTGAGCACTGAATAGCCGTTTCGTCCTAGTATTGAACTGGTGAACAGTGCATATTCACGATCCTACAACAAAAGGATTCGAACCCAAGATATATCAGTCTCGCACGCAAACACTTAATCTCCAGATCGCTGGTGTTAATGTCTAATTTTAACCAGTTCACAATATAGCACCACTATCCACCCTTATCTTCAGTGGGTGGGATCGTGGATTCATACTGCTGAGGCGTCCCATACTAAAACGAAACAGTTGTCTAGTACTTCCGGGTTTTCCATGATAGTCTAACTTTAATCGACTCATGAATTCAACTATTAAATTACTACAATCATCACAAACCTCCCGTTTTTTTTAAAAATTTCTACTACTATTATTTTCATCAAGTAGTCTTCAATAATTTATTCCTATTATCTATACGAATTACCATTATTGTTAATTTCTATGCATTAACTAAATTCTTTTTCAATGTTTAAGATCATGAGTCAGTTGAAGCTAGACCTCCATGGGAAACCTGGGAGAACTGGACGGCCGTTTCGTCCTATTGTGAGACTCCTCAGTAGTAGTCTGATGGTCTAGTGGTTAAGTGCTCGCGCGCGAAACCAGTAGGTCCTGGGTTCGAATCTCGTAGGCGGCGAGGTCGTGGATGCGCACTGCTAAGGAGTCTCACAATAAGATGAAACGACTGTCCAGTGCTTCCAGGTTTTCCATCGTGGTCTAGCTTCAACTGACTCATGATCTTAATCATTGAAATTACTATAATATCCATAAAACTCATCTGATATTAAATTCTTTTTGTTAATTGTTCAGATATTCAATACATGTGCGATAGACTTTACACAATATCAGCTCCTATCATTCTGTCATTTATTCAATTTAAAACATTGATTAACAGTTATATCATTTATAAAGTAATTCATCATGAAAGCTGATCCATCATACACAGATCTTCTTTCACCTTGTCCTATTTATCCTAATCCAATGTTAGTATTTAGTTCAAATATACAAAATTCAGGAAATTTATTTTTATCAGATATTTATAAAGATTTAAAACCAATTAGTTGTAATGGAGTTGCCATAACAACAACAGCAACACCACCACCACCCCCACAACTCCCACTACCATCCCTAACAACAACAACAACAACAACAAATTGTACATCAGTACTTGGTGAAATAACAACATCATCAACATATACATCATGTTTTCCTACTGCCTACTATTCATCTTCGAATTCCTCTTTAATCTCATCAGTAGAGATATCGGCAACACCGGTAACATTCAATAATGATACATCATCAATAATTATGATAAAAATTTTTTATTTATTAGAAACTATATGTCGATCGAAACATTTAATATACGAAGAAAAATTAAAAATTCTTATGAATATAGCTGAATATGTAATAAAATTTTATGAATATTTAACAAATTCAAGTATCAATGATCCAGTTTCAGTAAGTTTCATTGTTATATTGTTTGTTTGAATCTTTGCATTAATGTTCAAGATTATGATTGATCAGTCTTTTATTGATATATGTGCATCCTGTATAGATTGCCTCGATATTGCTAGTGGGTGGCCTATGCTCCTCCACGAGGATAGTGGTTAACAACAATTGAATCCATGACACACGACACTTCTTTCTATCTGGAGCTCATCAGCCGGATGTACCTATATTTCAGAGTTGATGTTTACTTCGAGACTTAAACCCAGTACCGTTTAGTTCAAATACCATCGCGTTATCCATTGATCTACTGAGTCCTGATAGCCACTTGCTTGTGCAGTAGGATGAAGTTTAAACTCACTTGGTATTCTTTACTTGGATCTTCCCATTGTAGTTTAGGAGTGAAATTGACCAGTCTCTTGTTGGCGTATATGTATCCTGTGTGGATTGTCTCGACATTGCCTTAGCTCACAAGCATCCTAAGCAAAGATGAATAGTCTCTAGCAGTAGAATTCAGATTGACAGGCGAAACTTCTTCCTATTTGGGACTTGTCAGTTGGATGTGCCTGTATCCCAGACTTGATGTTCACTCCGGGACTCGAACCCAATACCGTTAGCTTCATTATATGTTATAATTCTCCTAACAGCTCGTATTATTGAATCATTTCTATAAGCAAAGAATATTCATATGTTTTTAACAACAACAAAAAAGAAACAATTCTACTGTGAATGAATTTTCTCAACGCCGATTAGATCGGTTGATGATGTTATCAACGGGCACACGACTTTATTGGCCTTAAATATGAGTCCAATCATAATGTATGATGATTTGTTATCAAAATATACATCCCAGTTATCCTTGTATATAATCATCGACTTAAATCACATTAGAAAATGACAGAATTAAACAAGTCAAATAATAGAATGAAGTTTGAATACGTATGTTTCATATACTCATTCATGTGAATAGACAATCAGGAAAATGAAGCGAAACGTAAAGGGTGAATCGAAACAGATCGGAGAAGGCATGTAAGCCAACTCCATTTAACCAAGAGTGAATTGATATTTATAGTCAAGCAAAAACAAGTTACAGACACATGATGAATAGGATAAGTAACTAACATATGCGATCATATAACAAAATAGTCAGGATTAATAAGTGAATAAGTGACGGGGTAGAAACATGGCTTGAGAAGAATGAATAGATTGGTCTATGTAGAGGCTAGAATAACCTCATATAACTTCATATGTGAATTTCCATCATTTATCCTTCATATTCTATATGACTCTTCTAATTCACAATTCCTTTCTACTTCCTTTTCTATTCTCTTTAACTCGATCTTCTTAACCTTCTGCTGCAAGGTTTTCCACTTCTGCTTGGTGTTGCATACTACTTATGTCTGTCGATATAAGTAGCGTACACCGCACTCATCCCCCTTTTAAACGGTAGCTCTTACGATTGTTCTACTCGATGTGCCACTCTCCATGTCGAAATGCCGAATTTGCTAACCTCCATAGCAATGTCGACCTACCGGGTCATCTAAATACGATGTCCCTCGAGCAGATGTACGTTTCTCCCTCCTCTCTCCATCGACAACAATTGCTACAACCAACACCAACCCACCAGAACATTCTACTTGATGTCACTTCCTCCACAACAAATAGCGCCTCCTCTTGACCACAATGCTAGTTAGTTAGTAACAGTAATAACTCGGAGTACACCATAGCCTTATCGGTACTCTACTGTAATTATTCGATGTTTTTTGTAAAACTAATAGTAAGTCTTCTACACCTCATAGACGGGCTAAAGTAGTTGCGTTTTCAATATCATTTTGAATCACCTGATATTTACACATATCAGAATCACTGATTTAATCCAATGATTTCAATGATCTGTATATCATTATGTTTTACCTAATCAACTTACATACACTTACTAAATTTACAATTTTCTTTGTAGCAGGATCATGAAACTCCACTGAATCTGACACAACCAAAACTATTGAATAAAGAGACAAATATCAATGTATCTCCTTTGTTTACATCATCTCAAACATCATCATCATCATCATCATCATCTTCTTCTTCTTCCATCCTTTATCATTTCAATCAACAGAATTCCCCTGATCAATCAATGAAACCTGATAAACAATCAATTTCATTATCAACACCAAATAATAATACTTCAACTAATTTAGTAATTCCAATACCACAGCCTATACCTTGGTTACAAAAATCAGATCAGTTATCAAATGGATCAAATAGTACTTCAAATAATAATAATAATAATAGTAGTAGTAGTAATGTGACATTTCCTGAAACGAATTTAACTTCATCATTGAATTGGTTATCAACATTATCAGATGGTAAAGAATTACCAAATTGGTTATTAGAACAGATTACACCAACTAATGAAAAGGTAGGTATATAGGGAAAGTTAATCACTATACTCTATAAGTACATCATTTTTCCATTAATATCTATATCAATATTATTTGTCAGAAGAGGGTTTTGTGGAGATCTTCATAATTTAATAGTTGAATTCATGAGTCAATTAAATCGAGATCATCATGAAAAACTTGCAAGCACTGGATAGTCGTTTTGTCCTAGTATGGGACTTCTCAGCGGTGGGCGTTTACGACCTCATTTATGGGACTTGAACCCAGGGCCTGTTGGTCTTGAACGCAAATGCTTAACCCCTAAACCATTGAGATGATATTCGATGGTGTTCATGTCTAATTTCAACCAATTTATTTATTGGTCATACCATCTAGATACCTTGGTGAATTATACTGTCGATGGATATCTTTCACTGATTATCCTTTCACTCAACAGTGCGTATCCATGATTCCACTCATGGGATTTGAACCCGTCCGTTCAGTGCCTTAATTGATTCATGAATTCAAAATTATCAGTATAATTCTATTGGGAAGCCATAACCAGTGGAGCTAATCCATGTCAAGTAGAGATAGGTACCTACCTCAGTACAATGGAAGATCGTCGCACAATTTCACGGATTGGTTGAGGTCGGATATTAACACCTTTGAATGCCGGAGAGCTCAGTGGTCTAGAGGATAAGCATTCACGCCCGAAACCGAAGGCCCTGGTTTGGAATCCTAAGAGCGTGATCGTGGATGCGCACTACTGAAAAGCCCCACATTAGTACGAAACGGCTGTCCAGTGCTTCCAGATTTTCAATGATAGTCTAACACCAATCGGTTCGTGATGTTAATCAAAAATATTAAAAATTAGTACAATCTCCACAAACACCACCCACCCACCCACCTTCACCCAAATTTATTTTTAATTTACCCTAGTTACCTGAATTGTATTAAGTATAATTATTATCTGTGACGACGGACCACGGGTGACTCGAGGAAGCTGTAGGAGGCTCAGAAGGAGCCGAAGATATTCCATCCAATCACTTTTCAGAAGAATATTCTAGAATTCCAACGTGTAGCCTCCTGATTGATCAATGCTAATAACCCCATGTACACGGATTGGAGGACTGTAATGATGATTTCGTTCTTACTAAAAACTATAAATACCTGACAATTTTGTACTATAATGAACACTGTTGGAATGATATTCCTTTCGTTAGTCTTCTGTCTTCTTCTTGTGACTTGGAGGAGTTTTAGGTGTTCTAGTGCTCTGTTATACACGGTATATCAAGAAACCAGCCTTTAAGATATAACATTATCTTTCACTATTATCTTCTTTAATTTATCCTATAGATGAATATCAATTCAATTTCACAATCAAATAATGTAATTACTGAAACAATGTTAAATTATTTAAAATTTTATTATTCAAGACTTTCAACAAATGACAATCCATATGATCAACATGATCTTCATCATCATGATGATCTTCATCATGATCATCAGCATTTATCTCAACAACAAATTCAATCACAAATGGAACATATCATTCAAATGAAAAAATTATTAAAATTATCTACTCATGAATATACTACTGATAATCAACTACTAATAAATAATAATAAGAATAATAATATTGATTTTATTGATAAAACATCTACTATACAAAAATCAATTAATCAATTACATGAAATAATTGATCAAACTAAACTTAAATTTAATAAAGAATCAATAATGCCGGTAACAGTAACCATGCAAACATCATTATCAGAAAATAATTTAACTAATCATATTTCATTCAATGGATCAATAGTTAATCAGAATGATAATCATAATAATAACAACAGTCATTCAATGTCATTTTTAAATGGTTCTCTTCCATCTTCAATGTATTTGTCGCCATCATCATCCTCATCAGCAGCAGCAACAGCGTCAGCATCAACATCAGCGGCGGTAGCAGCAGCAGCAGCGGCAGCAACCGTATTAGGACTTTCATCGTCTTTGGAATATCCTTATTCACATCAAGTTAATACAATCAATCATTCTTTTGATAATAATAACAATAATAATAGTAGTATTCTATCATTCAATCAAAAATTCAAGTCTATTTCCGAAATCAATAATGATACTAATAATCAATTCGGTTTTTCATTACAATCGATTTATCATACTAATGATACTAATGGTTATAATATTGATTTATTTAGTAATAATAATAATCATAGTAATACTAGTAATAGTATTAATAATAACCCAGCAACTGCCATTGTCATGGATACCAAGTTGTCAACAACACAAACACCAATTACTAATCTATCATCATTGATTAATAATAATAATAATAATAATAATAATTCAATATTAAATGAGAACAATTCTAATTTATCATTATCTAATGGAATAACACATAATCAATCAATATTTTATGATCCTACCATCAATACTACTAATAATGATAATGATAGTAGTAGTAGTGCTACTACTACAAGTACTACTATTACTACTACTACTAGTAGTAGTGGTAGAAATCCAAAATATAATGATCCATATACATATACATTAACACAGAATTCAAATGATTTAACTAAACAACATATTACATCATCCTTATCAAAACTTACACCTTTCAATTTAATCAATAAATTAGATCCTATAAATGTAAATTTACATTTAATCAATACTATGATCCCATCAAATGACCCTAATCATCATCATCATCATCAGCATCATCATGATCATGATCATGGAATCAATCAAAATACAACTACTAATGATGAAGATGATATCAGTAGTCATAGTAATAATAGTAGTATCAGTGAAAATGATCTCATTTCTAATAAATCATCTCTATCTATTAATTATGATGATAATAATAATAATAATAATAATATAGAAATGATTAAATATGAAAAAAATAATCAATATCCAATTAATCAATATCATCATTATATGAATCAATCAATAAAAAGAAATAAAAAGTTAAATTATTCTAATCAAAATGATGAAATGATAGAAGAGAATGAATTCAATTATGAAATTTATCAAAAAACTCAATCGATCCAACCATATCAAGTAGGTAAAATATTGATACAAATATTGGTACAAAGGAGACAAAGGAGCAGGACTGTGGATGCGCACTGCTGACGAGTCCCACACAATGGGACGAAACGGCTGTTCAGTGCTTCCAGATTTCCAATAGTGGTCTAACATCAATCGATTCATGATTTCAATCAAAAACTTAACAATCTCCACCACCACTATATTGATAATTACCGTGTGCTCATTAGTGACTAGCTTCGTGAGAAAATTCTCGGAGTTCTAGTGAGTTGTGACCAGTGGAGTTAATTCGTGTCGGGTAGAAACAAGTGTCTACCTCAGTAAAATGGAAGATGGTCGCGCAATTTCGTGGATTGTTTGAGGTTAGAAATTAACACCATTGGATTCCGGCTCAGTGGTTCAGTAGGCTAAGCGTTCGCGCGCGAGACCGAAGGCCCTGTGTTCCAATCCCGTGGGCGGGATCGTAGATGCGCACTGCCGAGGAGTCCCACGATAGGACGAAACGGCCGTCCAGTGCTTCCAGGTTTCCAAGGTTGGTCTAACATTAATCGGTTCATGACCTCAATCAAAAAAATTAAATTTATACTTGATCTGGGATACTGCCTAAGTGTTTAAACTAAAGTAGATAGTTTACTAAAAGGAGTATCCTATGAGACTTGACTTGGAGATCGAATCGATAAAGGTCATGGAGATATGTCAGGAAATTCAGTTTAACAATAGTCAATGATTACAATAGATTGATATGTTATTCGATCCTTTCAAGATTTGGAAGTCTATATGTATCATTAGTTAAAAATCAAGGTTTTTCAGTTCACCCCTCCCCCCCCCCCGTAAGTGAATTCTCTGTATACACTAACTTGGTGAAAGCTCAGAACTTTCAGCTTTATCTTATTTTTTTTGTTTGTAAACAACACCTTAGCTGTGAGAATGTAATGAGTGGGATTTCCCTGACAGTTACTATATATATACGTGAGAATATGAGAGAATTTTGAAAAGGAGCACACTCTTCACAATCTCACTCACTCAAAACAGTGAAAAGTACTGTCTTATCTTCCTTAATATACAATTTAGGTAACATTAGGTAAACCTGAAAATATTTTTTTCCTGAATTCTTTGAACATTTTGACAATTTGATACTGAATAGTCTTCCAAATTGAACGCTATATTCGTTTCCCAAGCTATTCTGTAACCCCCAAGCTAGAACGATACAGCGACTCGAAGCATGCGAAAAGTAGTTAACTCCAAGATTCATTGTAACACAGAGAATATAGGGTTTTTATAATATTTTTAGATGTCCTTGGGTTGCTAGAAGATTCTGGAATGCTACTAAACATAGTAGCAGTATAGCAATCAGCCAATCAGAACCTCTACATGTGACGCTTCGCTTCCTTGATATTTTTGCCTAAAACTTCAAGTGAACGCTGATTGGGTGAAACGCTTCTTAATGCTTCCTGATCCTTGCTTGTCTTTGGCAAGAAATTTTCTGGATCACTTCAACAGATACCTAAAAGTCACTTACAGTCTGAAAATAAAAGGTTGGATCAATCAATATATGTTTACTGAAGTTAGTCAGTATCTTTTGGGATATATACATCTTGAGATGATTGACCTAGGAAGTTTTCGCAATATTTAGCATGGATCCGAGACTTTAAACTCAGTAGGTCTTGTTTTCAAAAACACCCAACGCTTTATTCACTGAGTTGTTTGGACTCAGTAATCAATAATTTCAGACATTTACATCCTGTGTGGATTGTCTTGATATTACCTTAAGTCATGGATAATCGCTAGTAGTGGAATCCAGTTGGATGTGCTTGAATCACAGAATCGATGTTCACTCTAGATCTAGAAGCTCATTAAACTATTTATAGAACCTATTACATTTCATGATTAATTACCCTTATTTCTTTCACTAACGAAGAATAGTAGTATACTTTACTGGATTATCACTAATTGAAAATAAGTCAAAATGTAAATGTTGAAAATAACATCTAATTAATCAATGATCAAAGTATGAATCCAAAATCTGTCTGCCATAATGATCACAATTGAGAACTTTGAATATAGAGTAACTTCATTGTTCAGCATATTGCGACTCTCATAGTTGCTTAATTGTTGTCAGTTTATGTTGAGTATCACCATTAGGGGTCAATCAGTATCTATAACTATGTTGGATATAATTGACATACTTTGAGATGATAGAGAAGATTTGTAGTACAGGTGGATGATTTTGATAAAGTTTTGTTCTCTAAGCTGAATGGTTTGGTCGTGGAGCTTTCATCGTTCTCCTGAACGACGTCATCAGCTGAGGATGAAAGCTCCATGATCGAACAATCCAGCTTGGAGAAAAAACTCCATCAAACTAATTAACATCTATTCCGAAGGTAAAGACCGGTGACACGCAAGGTTGCTTACTCTCACCCTTACTCTTTCTCCTGCTGGTCGACTGGATCATGAAGACGTCAACATCTGATGGGAACCATGGGAAACAGTGGACATATAGGATGCAGCTGGACAATCTAGACCTCTCAGATGATCTGTCTCTCCTATCGCACACGCAACAACAAATGCAGAAGACGACTATTGTAGCAGCAGCCTCAGCAGCAGTAGGTCTCAACATACACAAAGGGAAAAGCAAGATTCTCCGATACAACACAAGTTGCATATTCCACTGATGTAATCTTTGAATACAGCATGCAACAATTGAATCACACTTGATGGAGAGGATTTGGAAGATGTAAAAACGTTTACATAACTGGGCAGTATCATTGATGAACACGGTGGATCTGATGCAGATGTGAAGGCGTGGATTGGCATAGCAAGAGTAGCATATCTACAACTGAAGAACATCTGCAAATCAAAACAATTGTAAACCAACATCAAAGTCACAATTTTCAATACTAATATCAAGACAGTTCTACTGCATGAGGCGGAAATTTGGAGAACTACAAAAGCCATCATGCAGAATATACAAGTATTTATTAACAGATTTCTACACAAAATAATTCTGATTTGTTTGCCAGACACTACACTACCAACAACAACCTACTGTGTGAGAGAACAATTCAGATTGCTGTGCGGAGGAAGAAATCAGGAAGGAGCGTTGGAAGTGGATATGACACAGATTGAGGAAAGCACCCAACTGCGTCAATAGACAAGCTCCCACATGGAATCCTGAAGGCCAAAATAGGTGAAGATGAAGACCAAAGAACACATTACGTCAAGAAATGGAGACATACATAAGAAAAATGAACGGCAATTGGATAGAACTAGAAAGGAATGCCTAGGACATATTGGGTCAGAGAATGCTGGTCGACGGCTTATTCTCCATTGGGTGTAACAATCGTAAATGAGTAAGTAAGTAAGTAAGTAAGTAAGTAAGTAAGTAAGTAAGTAAGTAAGTAAGTAAGTAAGTAAGTAAGTAAGTAAGTAAGTAAGTAAGTAAGTAAGTAAGTAAGTAAGTAAGTAAGTAAGTAAGTAAGTAAGTAAGTAAGTAAGTAAGTAAGTAAGTAAGTAAGTAAGTAAGTAAGTAAGTAAGTAAGTAAGTAAGTAAGTAAGTAAGTAAGTAAGTAAGTAAGTAAGTAAGTAAGTAAGTAAGTAAGTAAGTAAGTAAGTAAGTAAGTAAGTAAGTAAGTAAGTAAGTAAGTAAGTAAGTAAGTAAGTAAGTAAGTAAGTAAGTAAGTAAGTAAGTAAGTAAGTAAGTAAGTAAGTAAGTAAGTAAGTAAGTAAGTAAGTAAGTAAGTAAGTAAGTAAGTAAGTAAGTAAGTAAGTAAGTAAGTAAGTAAGTAAGTAAGTAAGTAAGTAAGTAAGTAAGTAAGTAAGTAAGTAAGTAAGTAAGTAAGTAAGTAAGTAAGTAAGTAAGTAAGTAAGTAAGTAAGTAAGTAAGTAAGTAAGTAAGTAAGTAAGTAAGTAAGTAAGTAAGTAAGTAAGTAAGTAAGTAAGTAAGTAAGTAAGTAAGTAAGTAAGTAAGTAAGTAAGTAAGTAAGTAAGTAAGTAAGTAAGTAAGTAAGTAAGTAAGTAAGTAAGTAAGTAAGTAAGTAAGTAAGTAAGTAAGTAAGTAAGTAAGTAAGTAAGTAAGTAAGTAAGTAAGTAAGTAAGTAAGTAAGTAAGTAAGTAAGTAAGTAAGTAAGTAAGTAAGTAAGTAAGTAAGTAAGTAAGTAAGTAGTAAGTAAGTAAGTAAGTAAGTAAGTAAGTAAGTAAGTAAGTAAGTAAGTAAGTAAGTAAGTAAGTAAGTAAGTAAGTAAGTAAGTAAGTAAGTAAGTAAGTAAGTAAGTAAGTAAGTAAGTAAGTAAGTAAGTAAGTAAGTAAGTAAGTAAGTAAGTAAGTAAGTAAGTAAGTAAGTAAGTAAGTAAGTAAGTAAGTAAGTAAGTAAGTAAGTAAGTAAGTAAGTAAGTAAGTAAGTAAGTAAGTAAGTAAGTAAGTAAGTAAGTAAGTAAGTAAGTAAGTAAGTAAGTAAGTAAGTAAGTAAGTAAGTAAGTAAGTAAGTAAGTAAGTAAGTAAGTAGTAAGTAAGTAAGTAAGTAAGTAAGTAAGTAAGTAAGTAAGTAAGTAAGTAAGTAAGTAAGTAAGTAAGTAAGTAAGTAAGTAAGTAAGTAAGTAAGTAAGTAAGTAAGTAAGTAAGTAAGTAAGTAAGTAAGTAAGTAAGTAAGTAAGTAAGTAAGTAAGTAAGTAAGTAAGTAAGTAAGTAAGTAAGTAAGTAAGTAAGTAAGTAAGTAAGTAAGTAAGTAAGTAAGTAAGTAAGTAAGTAAGTAAGTAAGTAAGTAAGTAAGTAAGTAAGTAAGTAAGTAAGTAAGTAAGTAAGTAAGTAAGTAAGTAAGTAAGTAAGTAAGTAAGTAAGTAAGTAAGTAAGTAAGTAAGTAAGTAAGTAAGTAAGTAAGTAAGTAAGTAAGTAAGTAAGTAAGTAAGTAAGTAAGTAAGTAAGTAAGTAAGTAAGTAAGTAAGTAAGTAAGTAAGTAAGTAAGTAAGTAAGTAAGTAAGTAAGTAAGTAAGTAAGTAAGTAAGTAAGTAAGTAAGTAAGTAAGTAAGTAAGTAAGTAAGTAAGTAAGTAAGTAAGTAAGTAAGTAAGTAAGTAAGTAAGTAAGTAAGTAAGTAAGTAAGTAAGTAAGTAAGTAAGTAAGTAAGTAAGTAAGTAAGTAAGTAAGTAAGTAAGTAAGTAAGTAAGTAAGTAAGTAAGTAAGTAAGTAAGTAAGTAAGTAAGTAAGTAAGTAAGTAAGTAAGTAAGTAAGTAAGTAAGTAAGTAAGTAAGTAAGTAAGTAAGTAAGTAAGTAAGTAAGTAAGTAAGTAAGTAAGTAAGTAAGTAAGTAAGTAAGTAAGTAAGTAAGTAAGTAAGTAAGTAAGTAAGTAAGTAAGTAAGTAAGTAAGTACTGAAGGACAAAGTTTATCTAACTTGATATTGGTATCTTCTTCATTCTATGTAATAATATTGAGTGTATTACTTTATTTCAGACACAAATGAAATCACAACGTACAATTAAATCAAATCCTGATCAACAGAATGATAAATCATCTTCTCATATAAAACGACCAATGAATGCTTTCATGATATGGGCAAGAGATGAAAGAAGAAAAATTTTAAAAGTGAGTATGCCTATTATCTAGAAATAATGGTAAGACTATAATCTATAAACAAACCAATCAGATTGAAGATAACAGATCTTGGATTTTGGCGCGAAATTCATCCATTCATTGATTTGGTTAAATATCATTTTAGCATTTTATCTGATGTCAGTTCGTAATGAAAACAATAAATCCTATTAGATGGTGGTTAGAGGTAGTCGACAAGGTTTCCTGTTGACTACCACTAACCATCATCTTATCTCAATATACAGTGCACGTAGTGTCAAGTCACCTAGACTGATGAACATATTGCAACTTGGTCGATAGCATTCGATCTGAACTAAAGAACGACTTGACACACATTACATTGATCACCACCCAGTGATCAATCAATTGTGATAGATCCTATTCTCCACCTTTACCATCAGTTGTAAATTCTGATCCTAATTTCTCGCACTAATCTATAACATTCATTTAGCCTTGATTAGTAGGCGGACATTTATGTCGAATAGTAGAATAATTTAGCATGTATTCCAACAGTTAGATACCATCATCAATCTAGTTTTAGAACACATTGAAGCTGGTTTGTTGTGTTATAATAGGGTGAACCAGAAACTATCTGTTAGGTATAAATTAATTGACTTAGCTTAGGATATTAATGTATTGAAATCAATTCCTTTATGTAACCTAAATGATGGATGAGTCCATTTTAAATAACTTCTAAGGTGCGTTTTAAATAATCAAGATAAAGTTATGAATTTACAAGTTCCATAGATCAAAATCAGATCCATACATGTAAGTAAAGTCTAATTGATAAATGACACTGTTTTCTTGCAGAGATCAGAATAATTGGATAACCAGGCGAGTCTTACTCAATGCCTTCTCGTACCAGACGTGTTGCTTACGAAATTGAGAGGACGAATAGCGAATGTTCGACGCTTTAATCAGGTTGGTGGATATGGAGGATCCACCTAGAAGAGTTGGAAAACCCTAATTCCAAACTAATGATGCACATGGTCTCCACGATCCTAAGGAAGAAAATGGCGTATCAACCAATTGTTTGTTACTCGCTACCATGGAACTGACTCCCCTGACGTTGCTCCACTGCCTTGTGGATTAGATCTTTAGGTCAAAGGCTCTGGGTGTGTTCCCTTAAAGAAATCACCTGCCTCTATTTGGGCACCCGGACAGTATACCAGCCATATCTAGTTGGTGCCTCTTTGTACCAATGTTTATGTGCTTAAATAAATAAATTGGATAATCAATAATAATTTACAAGACATATCATGACTTTTGAAATATTAAGCACGATATTCAATAGTTAAATTCATGAGTCAATTAAAGCTAGACCACTATGGAAAACCTGAAAGCATTGAGCAGTTGTTTCGTCCTAATATAGGATTCCTCAGCAGTGTGGATCCACGATCACGTACCAAACGGATTCCAAATCCAAAATTTTCAGTCTCATATGCGAACACTTAACCTTTAGACTACTAAGTCAACCACAATCCAACAATTCTAATATCTCTCATTTCAACCAAATCATGATATCATTGTGAATTACATCAAATCTATATTGTATATACCTCGATTCAACCCCCCCCTTTTTTTTTTCTTACACTGTTTAGTACATGTTTGATTGGAGCACAAATTAAAACTTGACATAAAGTTGTATTCATATTTCTTTTTTGACATTACTGTTAAAATGAATGAATCAAAGAGATCATATCAGTAATAAGCAATTGTCAATCAAATTATAAAACAAATCTATGATCAAGTGTAAACATTCTAAGTATAAGCTTTTTGAGGTGAGGTGGGGGGAGGGGAGAGGAGGGGAGAGCAGAGGAGGGGAGAGGAGAGGAGGGGAGGGGAGGGGGGGGGGGAGGGGAGGGGAGGATCAAAATGTATTTGACATTTTGTTTCATAGTAATTCTATATACATATATGTCATTAATAAGTACATTAGTAGTAGTTATAGTAAGTTTTATTTTGGTTTATGATTTTCATGTATAAATGACACAATGTGTGACACAATGAATAGGTAACCGTTTTTTTTACATAAATGATGATATCAAACAAAAGATGGTTATATTGTAATGTGGGTTACTTATATCTACATAAGTAGTATATAACGGTGGTCAGGCATAGAATGTACTTCAGTAGAAGGTCGGTGACGGAAGAACGGGAACGGAACGCAATTAGTATGAAAACGTATGAACAATGAAATCTGAGATAATGGAATGATGTTTTCAACAGGAACAGTCAAGTTTGATATGATGGATTGATATTTTGCAAATTACTATGGTTCTCAGATTTTAGTGAGATTCTTTGTGATGATGAGCTCAATTACATTTGAATGTCCCCACTGATATTCTGTTCACTAGAACATTACTACTGAATATGAAGTGACCATTAGAATAGTATGGTATATCGCCTGTATGTATACGAAAAATGAGACCGTAATCAAGAAAAATTGCTTTTAGTTACCAAGATAATTTACAAAGTTATTGTCTATTTGTTTGAACATATAAATATTGGTACAAAGGAGCACTGATTACATTTGCAACACAAAGTCACTTGATTTGTGTATGTGTGTGTAGGGGGGGGTGATACTGCCCGGATGCCCAAACCGAAGCATCTAGTTTTCTTAGGGGGTCACACTTGGAGCCTTTGATCTATAGGTCTAATCCAGGAGGCAGTGGAGCAAAGTTAGGAGATGCAGTCCTATGGTAACCACTGACCAACAACTGGTTCATACACTATTTATTCCCTCAGGATCCTAGAGACCATGTGCACCACTTATTTGCAATCAGAGTTTTCCAACTTCCTTAGGTCGACCCTCTATGTCCACTCAATCGTAGGTGTCTTCGAAGCAGTGCTCGTAAATCCTGGGACCACTGAGTAGTGATAAGTCATGTCAATTTGAACGCTTTATTTGGTTCCTAAGCTATTCTGGTAACCCGCAAGCTAGAACTACACAGCGACCTGAATTCGAGAGAAAAGGCGCAAAATAAGTGAGAAACACTTTACTCCAAAGGTTCATTTTTGTACAGAAAAACAAGGGTATTTATAGATGTTAACAGTTGTTAAATCAAAATCATATTTTGGCCAATCCGCTAAAAGACATATTATGCTACTGACCAATAGTAGCACGCCAAGTTGACATTCTAGAAAGCTCCACCATGTTCTGATTAGTTAGGGCACTTCGGCTTCTTTAGGGCCTCTGGAGGCTCCGTTGCAGTTCTCGGAAAGCCGAATCAACAAGTATGTAATGCAGTTGTTAGGAAACGGGTACTAGGTAAGAATAACAAATCAATTGATGAAGTAGTGAAACTTCAACAGTTCAGATGGCTGGGATATGTGTTCCGTATGCCCAACCACTGACTGCTTTGGCAAGCGATGTTTTATGCTGTAAGAGTACGTTAGAAGAAAGCTTCTGAGGAGTCCCACAATAGGACGAAACCGCCGTCCAGTTCTTTCAGGTTTCCAACGATGATCTAACATCAATCGATTCATGATCTCAATAAAAAACTAAAACTTTCAATTATCTTTAGTTTCTTCTTTCATTTCTATCTCTTCTTCTTCTTCTTCTTCTTCTTCTTCTTATGCTTCACTCGAACTTTGTTTATTTTTAACTAATTTCTCCTTTCTTTTTGTGATATTCTATGAACAGTCGTTAGAACAGCTGATTAATTATGAATTCGATATAATCACAACAACAACAATGTGGACGTGGGGGGTTTGTTTGTTTTCTTCTCCTTCTTCTTCTTCTTCTTCTTCCTCTTCTTTATTTTCTTCTCATGTTATACCCAAATTGACTTGATAAACAATCATCATTAGAATAAACATACACAGTTCTATTTTGTATACCGATTTACAACAACAGTACCATTTTTCCTTTTTGTTTTGTTTTGTTTTCTTTTTCTTCTTCTTTTTTTCTTTTCTTTGAAATTGACATATACCATACGACGTGTAATAAATGTAAACTAAGGTTATCAGTTTCTATTGTGTTTGATTACATGTTATTTATAAATAAAAGCAAAATGTGTTTGTTTGTTTGTTTGTTTGTCTGTTTTTGTGTGTGTGTGTGCGTGTTTGTTTATTTTTTGTGTATTTTGTTTGTTTTGTTTTTCTCGTTAAATAAAAGAAGAAAAAAAATAAATCCTTAATGGTTACATAGTTGTTTCATCTAGTTCTGTTGTTTACCAAAAAAAAGAAGAAGAGAGAAACAGCGAGAGAGAGAGAGAGAGGGGTGGAGAAAAGAGAGAGAAAAAAAAAGAGAGAAAAGAAAAACTCGACGGGATTATATTACACATAAAAACAAATAAATAAAATAAACAGCATGAATCAGTCGTAATAAATAAGCATAATAAAATAAATGAACAATAGGTCACCGATTATGTAGTTAACCTTCATGGAATTATGTATAAACTTATCCTTCTTCTTCTTCTTCATCATCATCATGATCACCATCCTCCTCATCAACACCGTCTTCTTCATCTTCATCTTCTTGTGTCTATTAAGTTTGACCTTTACATAGATTATTTCTTTCTATTTTCGTATTTTGTTTTTGATTTTCTCTATTCAATTATGTACTAATGATAATAAACAGGCTACCAAGAGAGCAAGAGTGAAGAGGTAGGGGGGGGGAGGGAAAACTGATTATTATTATTCTTTTGATTAATTGAGGTGAAAGTATTTAGTTAGTTTCATAGTTGTCTCCCTTCAAAAAACAAATAAACAAACAATGTCATGGAATAATTATAATGTAATGGACAGTTGTTTTATTTTTTTGTACTTTTGTACCCCCTTGGGTATATACTCTTAAACTATTTCTTTTTAAAAAATGATAAATAAACCAAATTACTAATCTATATCACAGTTATGAATAATGTTTCAATTCAAAATGCTTTAGTTACATACGCCTGTTACTCCTTGTGGAAAAGTATAGACCGCCTATTAGCACTCTCCATTGAATTCTATCTTGAGCAATCCTTTCCAGTTCTTTACAGTTGTTATTCATCGTTTTCATTTCGGCTTCCAATTGCCGATGTAGTGTGTTCTTTAATCTTCCTCTTTTTCGTTACGGTTCAGGATTCCAAGATAGCACTTGGTTTGTGATGGAGTTTGGTCATTTCTGTAATGTATGTCTTATCCATTTCCAATGTCTTTTCTAATTTCCTCTTCAGATGTAAGCTGGTTTGCCCTTGCATACAGTAGGAGCTGTTGCTGATGGTTTCCAGCCTGCGGATATTGAGTATATTGTGTGGACAACTGTTTGTGAATACTTATACCTTCTTGTTGATGGTTGTGGTAGTTCTCCATGTTTTTGATCCATATAGTAGAACTATTTTGATGCTTGTTTTGAGGATTCTTACTTTGATATTTGTTGACAGTTGTTTTGAATTCTATATGTTCTTCAATTGTAGGAATACGCCGTTACTTTACCAATCCTCTCCTTTTAGTCAGCATCCGATCCTCTTTGTTCATCGATGATGCTTCCCAGGTACGTGAAGCACTCCACATCTGCTAGAGTTTCGCTATCAAGTGTGATTTGGTGGGCGTTCTCTGTTTTGTATTTGAAGATCTTGCTTTTTCCTTTGCGTATGTTGAGGCCTACTGATGCAGAGGCCGCAGCTACTCTAGTTGTCTTCATCTACATTTTTTCGCGTGTATGGGATAGGAGGCCCAGTTGACCTGCGAAGTTTGATTGATTCTGAGCTGTCCATTGTAGTCCGTGCTTTCCCTTCAGATGTCGAGGTCTTCATAATCTAGTCAACTACCAGAAAAAAGCGAAAGTGGGAGAGTAGACAGCCTTATCTGACACCTGTCTTTACTTGGAATGCATCTGTCAACTGACATATCACTAAATACTCCATCAAACAAGGTTTCAGTCTAGAAATCATTTTCATCTGAATAAAAAATTTCAAACACCGACTTAATTTAAAACTACTGTGACTGCTAGTTGACGTAACTGTTTGTGAAACTGATTCACTTCAACGGTTGTATCGTTCATCACCTTGACAGGTTACTAACGTACTTACTTATGCCTGTGACCCCGAATGAAGCATAAGCCGCTGATCAGTAATCTCCAAATCACTCTGTCCTGGGTTTTCCTTTCTAGTTCTTGACAGGTTACATTTTTTCATTTAGTGACTGAAAAATTTTGTATTCATTCACTTCCATAGTTTTGTTTAATTGACAAGTGATAAGATTTTGTTTACTTCTAATCAAGTAACTGAGATATACTACTCACAGGTATTGTACTTTATCATTATAAAGATTCTTTCTCTTTATTTTAAACAGGCATGCCCTGATATGCATAATAGTAGTATATCTAAATTTCTCGGAGCCAAATGGAAATCTATGAGTGCCGAAGTGAAACAACCATATTATGAAGAACAAGCTCGATTAAGTCGTCAACATATGGAAGAACATCCAGCTTATCGTTATAGACCACGTCCAAAGCGTACATGTATTGTTGATGGTCGAAAATTACGTATATCTGAATATAAAGAATTAATGCGTTCAAGAGGTGATTCATCACGTAGACAATGGATTGGTTCAACAGATGAACAAGCTCAAAAAATTGTAGAAGATATTTTAGGTAAGTGTATTTTTTTGAGTTAATACCATACACATGAGGACAACCGATTACATCTAGTACATGATTACAGAGTTACTTGATAAACCATACTCCTAAACTTCACTTGTAAAATGTTTATTCATTGTCTCAGACTTCATTGTTTCTGCATTTCCATACCAATCATTCTTTGTTCCCATCCTTTTCTCCTCGATCTTCTCAACCTTCTACTATTGGGCATTCTATTACTGATTTGTGTTATATACTACTTATATCGATATAGGTAGCATACATCACACCATTACTAGAAATCGCAAAAACTTTCAAATTACTTCAGTGTTTAAACATAACTTTATGATTGTTGTTTACACATATAACAGTTTAAAGTTTTATTTAAAGTGTATTATATTATTAATTACACTGATAATTACCATATGCTCACGAGTGACTAGCTTCGTGAGGGAATTCTCGAAGTCCTAGTGAGAGGCTGTAATCAGTGGAGCGAATCCGTGTCAAGTAGAAACAGGTATCTATCTCAGTACAATGGAAAATGGTCGCGCAATTTCGTGGACTAGTTGAAGTTAGACATTAACACCATTGGATTACGGCCGACTCAGTGGTCTAGAGGTTAAGTGTTCGCACGTGAAACCGAAGGTTCTGGGTTGGATGTGCACTGGTGAGGAGTCACACAATAAGACGAAACTGATGTCTAGTGCTTTCAGGAATTCAGTGATAGTCTAACATCAGTCGGTTCATGATTTCAATCAAAAAGTATTACGTTTGTTTTAACACATTTACATAACGTCTTTTATTCCCAATGAAATGTAATAATCAACATTTTATTCCATTTAGAAGTCATTGTTTGATTGTTTTTATTTCTCATTATAAATCTATGTTTGATAATATGATAACAAATAAAATCAAACGACCTACTAAGAGTTGAGAATAAACATGTATCATCCTCTATTGTCAAATACATCGTTGAAACCGGTCATAAAATGGGGCTTTTGTGATGTTGTGCACAAGAGTAAAATGGAGTATACAAAAGTTTATTGAAACCTTAGCCATACGAAAATGTGAACCTCCTTTGTGTATTCGTTGACTGATTGAAGCTAGACATAAAAACCGTTGGATGCCGGCTGGCTCACTGGTTTAAAGGTTAAGCATTTGTTCATAAGACCGAAAAGTTTGAGTTCGAATCCTGCGTGCAGGACCGTGGATGCACACTATTGAGGAGTTCTATACTAAGACGAAACAGTTATCCAGCATGTTTAGGTTTCCAATTGTGGTGTAGCTTAAATCAACCCATGAATTCAACTATTAAATATCGTTTCTTCGAATTATTTTGAATTATCTACAAACATTATTTAAAGAAATATTCTATTAACCACAACTATTCTCGTTAATAAATATAAAATGAATGATCCTCTTAAGCAAAGATAGATAGTGGCTAGCAGTGAAATTCAGTTTGACGAGCGTTTCGTCCTATTTGTGACTCGTCAGCTGGATGTACCTGCATCCAACAGTTGATAGTTACTCCTGAACTCCAACCCAGTACCGTTCGCTTCAAACGCCATCGTGTTATCCACTTAACTACTGAGTCCTGATAACCACTTGCTTGTGCTGACAAGTCCGAAATAGGATAAAACGCACCCCAAACTGAATTCTACTCCTAGCCGTTATCCATCTTTGCTTTAAAAGCTTATGACTTAAGACTATATCGAAACAATCCACACATATACCAACATGAGATTGATCAATTTCAATCTTAAATAACAATGGGAAGATATAAGTAAAAACTAAACCAAGTGAATGATTCTCTTGGCTTGATTTTTATCTTTCTACCATTTCCCATTCCATTCTCTCTTTCTTTCCTTCTTTCTTTCTATCAAACTATCTCTCTCTCTTCTTTCAACTGTCTTTCTCTTAATCAGATAAACAAAAGCCTAATCATTACTGTAATTCATTAAAGTACACTACAGTTTCTTCAACATCTTTGCTTATTATTAATATGATAATGATTATTATTGTTATTGCATTATTTGTTGTTTATGGTAATTGTGTGAAAAATAATGATGATCAAGAGTTTGTTTATTTATTTATTTATTTATTTAGTTGTATGTTAGTGTTCTCTTCAGCGTTTCATTATTTCGTTTATCTTAACTATAATGGGATTGTTTCTAAGAGGGTGGAGAAGATTTGTATATATACATGTCTTTGCCTAACAATAAGTGTATATATTGATAAGGTGCACCATTGTAAAACCTTTGAAGTCTTTTATACTTAGTCATATTTCATTGAATCCATGATGTAATATAAGCAAACTTACCGTAACTTAAGGGATATGAAGGTGGGGGGAGGGAGGGAGGCAAGGAGGGAGGGAGGAGGTAAATGATTACTAAAGGTAAAACTAGGCTAACTATTTTTGTTTTCTAAATGTAAATGTCTATACAAATTGTATAGTTACAATGCTGTTTCACACTTTCTTTCTTTCTTTCTTTCTTTCTTTTTGAATATTTTTATTCTTAAATGTTGATCTCTAATCAATAAAGGAAATTATCTTATGTTGATAGGGGTAGTAACAATAGTATACCAGCTATAATAATCATAATAATAGTACTAATAGTAATGGTAATAGTAATGGTAATTATGTGTGTATATTATGTAACTAACATACAATTTTATTGAAATCATAAACCAACCTTTTTTTTCTATCATAACCATCTATGTAATCAACTGAAAAATGGTATATCATCTATTTGTTTATTTAAAAGAGAATAAGATCAAATGTTCCGCTTCTTCTTTTTTGTGTGTGTTATTGTTGAAAATTCAGTACATCAGTAGTATTTTAAACAAAGGCCATGGGTGTGTGTGTGTGTAACTGAGTGTGTGTGTGTGTGTGTGCATGGGTGTGTGTGTGTGTAAATGTAACTCTTATAGGATGAGTTGTTAGTGCATGACTATGCATCAATCTGGGACATGTATAGAGAAAAAACAAATAGGAATAGCAGGTTTTACAATGTAGTACACTTGACTATAATAATGTTAATTTAACCATTATATTGAAAAAAGATCATTATTGTATGTACCTCATACCCTCCACCCCCCCCCCGATTATGTATATGTATTTTATTATTATTATTATTATTATATCTAATCGGTTCATTTAGTTCAATTGAATGTAAACATTAGCACTCAATGATATATTCATCTTTAGTTATATACACTTAGATACAATTACCAATATACATGTATATATACATGATATAGATAAATGAAGGATTATGTATATGCTCAAGTTTAATAGATTGTACAGAGTATTCTCATTCGAAACCCACTTTAAAGCATGACTCAGTTTGTCTTTCAAAGATTCTGAAACATTTCAAATTATAGAGAAATAAGTAACCATCAGTATAGGTCCTGGGTTTGAATCCTGTGAACGGGATCATGGATGCATATTGCTGAGGAGTCCCACACAATAGGACGTCACATCCATCTAGTGTTTCCAGGGTTTTCAATGGAGGTGTAATATCATCAACCGATTCATCATCTCAATCAAATAAGTAATCCAATGATTTAAACTTAAATTCTCTTTATTAAAGAGATATGTCAAATCTCCCATTATAACATGGTTTTAACATCCTTCCTATTTATTCTCATTAATCATCAGTTATTACTATTGTTCAATCATACATTAGAGAATAGAAGAGAAAATAAGTGCCAACATCTCAGAGTCTACTCCAAAGAAGCTCAGACTAAAATGACAGGAGTGCAATTGCATACCATGACCACTTGAAAGTGGTCATTTATTTCATGTTTTAAGGATCATAAAATTTTTTTGATTAAAATGTTAGACCACCATTGAATACCTGGAAGCACTGGAAGGCCATTTCGTCCTATTGTGGAACTCCTCACTAGTGTAAATCTACGATCCCACTCGTGAGATTTGAACCCAGGACTTTCGGTTGTGGAGTTTGTTGAATGTCATTGAAATCATGAACTGGCCAAAGGTAGACCAACAATGAAAACCTGGAAGCACTAGACGGACGTTTTGTCCCATTATAAAACTCAGCTCAATAGTGATTAGCTTCGAGAGGAATTTTAGAGAGAAGCCGTGATCAGTGGAGTTCAACTGTGTTGAGTGTGAAATAGTTACCCACAAACCCACCCACGACCATCAAAAGTGTTTACTCAATATCACAGATTGATTAAAGTTAACCATTAACATTGTTGGATTCTAGATTCAACTTCTTTTTGTGTAGTCTTCGATGAACGCGACTGAGGACAAAACGGCTGTCCAATGCTTCCAGGTTTTTAACGTGGCCAAACCTAGATCGGTTCATTTCTGAATAATTCTGTTTCTAGCCGCTTAGTTTTCATTCTAGAACATTCATCTATTCAACCCATAAATATGGACACATATTAGTATCTCTTATACTTCTTTCACACTTGTTACTTGTTTAGGTTGTAAGTAACTGATAAGAAACTGCTATATAAAACGAAGTTTTTCTATTCCACTTCGTTCAATCTTCGTATTTCAGAACGTCTTAATAAAATCTAAGAACCAATACAGTAAATACTTCATTTGCAAAATGCTAATCCATAGTTTCTTCCCTTCCACACTAATCATTTTCTGTTGTCGTTCTCTTTTCCTTGATCTTCTTAAGTTTCTGCCTCCAGGCATTTCATTTTCAATTGATGATACATACTACTTATATCAATCAATATTAGTAGTACACATCACACTATCAATAATAATTATGAATTATGGAGTAGTTAATCAGCTCAAATTGTGTTGTAAATTTCTTATAGAAATTTTCAGTCAGATAATCATGTTGTTTCTCTAGTCATAAACAAATAGATTGTCACTACCGAAAGTTATGAGCTAAATAACTGGAGACAAACTGAAATGTGTACACTTATTGATCATTCCCACCAATACAGATCTAAAATCATAAGTGATTCACACTTTTGTTTAGAGATTCTAACAGGAATCATAAAACACACCATTAAATTATCTTTTC